GTCCATACAAATACCTGTATAAGAATGCTTACCAGCTTCATTCATAATAACCAAAAACCAGGAACAATTCAAATATGCATTAACTGGTCCATTGATAAACAAACTGGAACACTACTCAGCTATAAAAAAGAACAAACTGCTGATATATGCCATAACATGGATGAACCTAAAAAGCACGAAGTGAAAGAAGCCAGACGCATAAGGCTACATACTATATGACTCAAGTATATGGCATTATACAAAGAACCAAACTAGAAGGAAAAGAGATCAAGCCTGAGATGTGGATAGATTTAATTATAAAAGGAAACAAGAGGTTTTTTGGGGGGATGAAAATGTCCAATACCTTGATTGTGGTGGTGGTTACATAACTATACATTTGTCAAAACTATAGAACTGTATATCTAAGAAAGGTGAATTTCATGATATGTGCATTATACCTTAATAAATCTCATTTGAAAAAAAGGAATGCAGTCACATCAGCATAAATATAGAATGACCACATATCAAAAATATATGCAGGAAATTATATTACAACATTACCACATACAGGTCGAAGATCACATGGTGCCATTAGTGCATTTCCTTTTATTAAAATACCTCATAAGCACTAATGATAAACAAAATGCTAACAAATATTAAACTCTAATTAATGATATACCTGGAGGTATTTAGGGGTGAAGCATACCAATCTCTACAACTTACTTCGAAAGGCACTGCAAAAAACAAAACAAAAAAAACCCCAAAAAACGGTGAATTGATAGAAGCACAGAAGAATTGGCAGACAGACAGATAACAGATAAATGAAACATAGCAAAATCTTCGCTGTCAAATTTAGGTGGAGGTATTATATGGGTGTTCAACCTATGATTCTTTTACTTGCTCTGTATGAAAAATTTCATATTAAAATGTTGGCGGAAAATGCTACACAAAGAACAGCAAAGTAAACCCAAACTGAGTAGGAAAAAGGAAATAAAAGTAAAAGGAGAAATCAACAAAACAGAAAAGAAATGATAGAGAAAATTAACAAAGTTCTTTCTGTGAAAAGATAAACAAACTTTAAATAAAAATCAGAGTTCGCACTACTACGTGGGGTTGGACAATTTTTATTACTACAATGAGGCTACTCTTGAGACTAACATTTCCTAGATTTTTATTATCTCAGAATGACCAGAAAACTTATGAGACATGCTGGAGATTTCATCCAGGGGACGGGGAAAAATACATTCCCCGAAATAGATTTAAAGATGGAGGAATGGGGAAGAAATTCAAGTTACATTCCGATCCCAACCCTGGGAGTCTGGAGAGTTGTCCAGGAGTCAGTCCACATAATCCTGCCTTCCCATCCCATCCTGCTCCCGTGCTCTTGGATGACAGTCTTGCTATATCTCCCATTTCCCTGGAATCCCTCTCAGCAGATATTTCAAGCTGTGGATCTTAACTAGACATGAGTATCAGAACACTCAGGAGTGTTACTCACAATACATATAAATAGGCGATCCCAGGCTTTCTGAAACTCACGGGGATTACTCATGACTATTCCTACAAACCCACAGGTAACTATGCGATACGTCTCTGGTTAACTACTATATTAAAAACAACTTCTGTGTGTATAATAACAATAAAAAGAGTGATAACATTTGTTAAGAGTTTCCTTTATGCCAGAAACCCTTTTAGGTGCTTTTTTTTTTTTGAGACAGAGTCTCACTCTGTTGACCGGCCTAGAGTGCAGTGGCATCATCATAGCTTACTGTAACTTCAAACTCCTGGGCTCAGGAAATCTTCCTGTCTCAACCTCCTGAGTAGCTGGGAATACAGGCACGTGCCACCACACCGAGCTAATTTCTGTATTTGTTGTGGAGACAGGATCTCTCTATGTTGCTCAGGCTGGTCTCCAACTTCTGGCCTCAAGTGATCCTCCCACCTTGGCCTCCCAAACTGCTAGGATTACAGGCGTGAGCCACTGCGCCCGGCCCCTTTTAGGTACTTTACATGCACTGACTCATTAACTTCTGACAATCATTAAGTTCTATCATTAGTCTCATTCTATAATAGACAAAGAAAGTCTAAGCAATGTGTGCATAGTGAAAGCTAGTGAGGGAAATGGCCAGAATTTGAACCCAGACTATGTGGCTCCGAACCTCCTTCCTCTTCCCAGATCCAAAACAATCAATGGAATAGTTATTGAATGTCTTCTACCGGTCCCATGTTGGGATAAGTTAGAACAAGACACAGGTTCTAGTATCTACGGGTTTGTGTTCTAGTGAGAGAAATAAGCCATTGGCAGTTAGCTAGATTTTCAAAAAGTTACTATATCCAATAGAAGCTCAGCTATATTATTTAAAGCTATAAATGTAACCAATAAAGGAACTAAAAATAAGAATTCAGCAAACATTGTGAAGTGCTGAGGAGCAGAAAGCCAAAGAATGAGCTAAATCCTTATTTCTATAGAGGTGAGATAAAACTGAAAACTCAGAGGGGAGGTATAAAGGTATTCCCTATAGCTATGGAGGTACTTGCCAGAAGAATTAAAAACAGAAATCTTTCAAACAGGCTACCCTTGGGAGGTGTGGCTGCAAATGCATATAGGATTTCTTTTTATCCTATACCATTCTGTACCCTTAGACTGAACATGTGAATGTCTATATTTTAATATAATGCAGGGCTTTTTTTTTTTGAGACAGAGTCTCACTCTGTTGCCCCAGGTAGAGTGCAGTGGTGTCATCATAGCTCACTGCAATCTCAAACTCCTAGGCTCAAGCAATCCTTCGGCCTCAGCCTCCTAGAGGGCTAGGATTACAGGTATGAGCCACTGCATCCGGCCAATGCAGTTTTAATTATAAGGGAATTGTGACTCAGGAGGGGAGACTGTGCCTGAGTTTGCTTTTCCTCTCTTCCAGGATACCACTGAAATGAGAAAAAGACACACAATCATTATAATTCCAGGAATCACTAAAAGTAAGAAAGCATGCCATCAGCACACCAGAAATCCTGATGAATCTCTACCAGGCAGTGGGTGTGGAATTACACTGAGCAATAAGGAGGATATTATAGCCCAAAACCTTCCTGGGAGAAGCTACAGAGTGGTGGGAGCCACATCTCCCGGCACAGGAGGGTCTAAGAGAGTGGGCGTGTTTGTTGAGTAGGAGCGGGCTCTGGGGAGTCACCTGTAGGTCAAAGGGGCCAGCATCTGACTACAGCTGATGCTCTGAACTAATCTCTGAAAGGCAGTGCTTCTCAAGCTTTACTGTGCCAATGGGTTCTCTGGAGAGCTTGCTAAAGTACACATTCTGATTCAGAAAATCTGGGGTTGGCCTTCAGATCCTGCGTTTCTATTTAGAGCCCGAGTAATGCCCAGGCTGCTGGTCCAGGGACCACACTCTGAGTAGTAACAGTGCTCTGAACAGACTTCTCTGGGATGGTCCCACGGAAGGGGAACTACGAATGGAAGAGAAAGAGGAGACCAATATGTGTGAAGAGTTTCTGGATCCCCATAAGCAGCCCAGACTGAAAAGCAGTTCTACCCAGGACTGAAATACAGTTCACTGAAGTATTCCTCCCTGGGAGTAAAGTCCTCTCGAGTTTATTTATTCTCTGAATAAACAAAGAGATAACACAAAAAACAAGAGTTGAGTGGGAGGGAAGTATTGATAAGAGGAGGAATCTGATAACAGGACACTTATCAAGTCAGATCTGTAAGAGTCTGAGAAGACATAAGAAGAGGAAACAGAAAATGGTGTGAAGGTTTACAGTGTTCACCACAAAGTGAGGGCAGATGAGAACATGGCGGGTACCTGGCCGGGTAGAGTTAAAGGTCACTAGCAAAGCTTTGTTGTCTGTACCAACTCCAATAAACCAGGTAAGATAATTTCCCTGAGGTTAAAAAAAAAAAAAAAGACTCCAAATTTCAGACTGAAAGGGCCCACAGTATGCCCAATAAAGAGAAAACACCAACACTTACCTCTATTCTGGTGAAAATACAAAAGCCCAAGAGGGGGAAGAAAAGGTCCTAAAAGCTTGCAGAAGGGAGGGAGGAAAGAAATGAGAACGGGCTTGGCACTTCTTGCTAGCAAGGCAGGAGGCTGGAAGGTAGAAATGGGATCTAAGAACAGGAGTGGCCACACCATCTGAATGCCAAGCAAAGTGCACGGCGACTGGAAAAGGCTGCCAGGGGGAGGCCTCATTTGGAGATGACATCAGTCATCAGACCCCAGGCACATCCACAAGTCTGGGGGCTCTGAGAAGGGCTCCTGGGCTCCTCCCAGAGGCCACGCTCTCACTGGCCAGGCTGGTTCCCCTTTCCCTGGCCTGACTCACCTGGACAGCTCCGCACTGGGGTCCCTCTGTCTGCCATCCAGGACTCTTCTCCTGGTCCCAACCCGAAGATCACATCTGGTTTGGCGACTAGATACCCTGCTCAAGGGAAATGACATAGAACTTTGTTATGAATGCTGAAGGCATTCTAAACCGAGGCCCTTCCCTGCAGGCTGAAGATGGCACAGTCTCGTGACCACCCCACGCACATAGTTATTTGCCCCTTAGTACAGAACATTCACGTAGCAGGTAAAGACACAAACATCCTGTCCAGCATCCAAATGAGACCGCAAATACTGGACACTGGGCCTTAAGCCCAAACTCACTGAGGGTTTCCAACGCCCCTGAGCTTGCAGCAGCAGCTCAGAAAGAGAGGCACTACTGGTGCATTCTACATCCCACTGTGGAGCAGTCCCTCACCCACAGACACCAGGTGGCTGTAGTTCTCAAGCATGACATCCCTGTAGAGGTTCTTCTGAGCACAGTCCAGTTGCTGCCACTCCTCCAGGGTGAAGTCCACAAACACGTCCTTGAAGGTCAATGATTCCTGTAACAGCACATTCCTCTTTAGCACAAAGGGATCAGCCTGGGGGACTGGGACAGGACACCTCACGCACATGGGGGGCTTACTCTGTGCCTATTATAAGTCCTTCGCACGTACTGAAGATTTCGATCCTCACCACCACCCTAGGAGAAACTTGACAGGTTAGGAACATGAGGCACAGAGTCTAAACTAACCAGCCCAGGTCATACAGCTAAGAATGAGGGATTCAAATCCACGTGGTCTAGCTTCAGCACCCATATCTGCCTTTCTCTGTATAACTGTCCTTACGCTATTCACTTGTCACAGATTGGCATAGTGTATCACATCGAGTATCTATATAACTAAAATTATTTTAAACTTTATACGAGAAACAGATAGGCTATCAGAAATATCTTACCCTGGAAATTCATTGATTCAACACATATTTATTGAATAGAGACCAAGCTGGTAAGTTCTGCGGATATAAAGACTAATTAAGAAAAAAAGCCCCTCTTGAACTCAAGGAGCTCCAGTTTGGTAGAGGAAGAAAAACAATTTACAGACTCACAGATGAAAGGGAGGGAGGGAGGGAGGGGCCCTGCCTTACAGGGGCAATGACAGATGTAGAACAGGGTCCAGATAGGAGGAAGTGAATTCTGCTTGGGGCTGACAGAGCGGGCTTATCAGGGGATACAGAGCTAGAATAAACCATTCTAAACATAGCTAAGCAATCATGACAAACAGTTCTAACCTTAGCTCATCAATCATGAGACAAGAACAGAAAGCCAGAAGGTCTGTGGCTCGGGCAGTTGACTGAGGCAAAAGGGGAAAGTTCTGTGTTTTCTTTGTCACCACCAAATAAGAATTCACTTCTAGAAGTGCCCTAATTTCTATCAAAGACCAGGCCCATGCCTGTAATCCTAGCACTTCTGGGAGGCTGAGGTAGAGCATCACATGAGGCTAGAAGTTCAAGACCAGCCTGGGCTGGTTCTGGTGGCTCACGCCTCTAATCCTAGCACTCTGAGAGGCTGAGGCAGGAGGATCGCTTGAGCTAAGGAGTTCG